TACCCAGGGGGACAGCTTGAGGCTCTGTCTCAAAAAAAAAAAAAAAAAGAAACTTCAGAATATATTCCTATTTCAGAAATATAAAAGTTTCTGTTTTTTTATTAAATCATAGCTATGTACATTAATGCATTTATGGGGTACAATGTGTTGGTTCTATATACAATTTGAAATACTTTCATCTAACTGAGACAGTGTCTTACTTTGTCACCCTTGGTAGAGTGCGTCATAGTTCGTGGCAACCTCAAATGGTAGGCCTGTGTTCCTCTTGCCTCAGCCTCCTGAGTAGCTGAGATTACAGGCACCTACCACAATGCCTATGTAGTTTTAGAGACAGGGTCTTGCTCTTGCTTAGGCTAGTTGGTCTGGAACTCCTGAGTTCAAGCAATCTACCCGCCTTGGCCTCCAGGACTGCTAGGATTATAGGCATGAGCCACTGTGCTAATTCTACTTTCTAATATCATCATCTTACCTACTGGTCTGTTCTCACATGTTAACTTCTTAGTTCAAACTATCCTCTCTACTCTAATTAGCCTGTTTTGATATCTTGTGGTTAGTCTCACCTTTCCACAAAAGCCTGACACCAATTGAAAAATCTTCCAGCTTCAATTCCAGTTTCCTATCTCTTCAACTAGCATCTCACAATGCTTACAATCACAAAACTTCATTTAACTAATCCCTTCAGGATCCATCATAGTCACTTACATACCACTTCCATTGTACTCACGCAAATGACTACACTGAGTCATTTAACTTTACTAAATTTAAGTTAAATTTAAATTTCTCATGCTAAAAGATAAGAAGTTAAATAGTCAAAAACTGCCTTAAGAAACTTACTAAAGGCTGCACCCGAAGCTCAGTGGGTAGGGCACCAGCCACGTACACACTGGGGCTGGCAGGTTCTAACCTGGCCTGTGCCTGCTAAAATAATAATGACAGCTGCAACAACAACAACAACAAAATAGCCAAGTGTTGTGATGGTCAGTCGCCTACAGTCCCAGCTATTTGAGAGGCTGAGGCAACAGAATCCCTTAAGCCAAGGAGTTTGAGGTCCTGTGAGCTGTGGTGCCACGGCACTCTACCAAAGACAGGACAACAGTTTGAGATTCTGTCTCAAAAACAAACAAACAAACAAACAAAAAACCCTCAAACTTATTATAAAAGCCCAGTGCCATTTAATCTGAGACCAACTGCAAATACTACTAATGTAGCCTCCTAATGAAAGATGAAACAATCTTTCCTTTCAAATACTAAGTCAGAAGTCATCAAAGAGTGACCAACAGCATTCTCAAGAATCAGAACACCCAATTTCCATTTCTATAGGCTCTGAAATGATTAGCAAGCCTACCTATGCTCATTTTAATTCCTTGTTTGCATCATTAACCTATGTAAGGGCCCTAACTGTGGCTGTTCTCTTTGGCCTAAAGCAAACCTTCAAATTTTGCACTAACTCTTGGGATTTACATAGCTCTCATGACTACTGGGATTGCAGAGTCACCAAGTCCCCACATAAGGCTGATACCATGAAACAATAAGACTTCTATCCCAAGAGCGAAGTCAACAGAATTCTTGAGTACCAAGAAAAAAAGAATACGCTATGGTGGTTCTCTTTTACACAGTACACCAATCAGTCCTTTTATTCTGCCACTAGCTAGTCAAGAAGGTCTTGTCCTGGAAAATCAATGACCATATATAAATTAACAAATCCCTAAATGGGAGACAATATAGA